GTAATTCTCATGCTTCTAAGAAATATTTGCTCTGCTGTGAAATACACATAATATCTCAATTGCTTAGAAATATCCAAAAACAACCAAATGAACAGCATTCCTAACATCCAAGAGCAACACCAGTTGAAGCTACTTTCCATGCATATTGTAAGAATACTAAACATCTTGTCCCCAAAAACCATGGAAATAAACTCTCCAACCAATTTGCTAGGTTAGAAAGCCAACATTACTTTATTAGCAGTGCTGAATATGTGGGGATTACTCCTCACAGCATGCATGAGTAGCAACTTAACAGACCAGGTTATGTTCATGAAATTAATACATATTCATTACATTTCTATTATATATTCATTACGTTCCTGATTACATGCATATATACTAATTGTTTCCTTGTACTTATTTGGATATGAGTAGGGGTCTTCTGAGGGTCTTTGGTGGTCATTTGGGAACATCCCATTCCTCAAAATTCCCTTTTATGGTCCCGAATCTTCTGATGACTCTTCTTTCCTTGAAAGTATCTCCAATACATGGTCAGGTCACGATGCACTCCTCTAATCATTCTTTAGTCTGACACTTTATCTATGTTCTCAAAACTAAGGCATTTACAAGTACATATTAATCACTAATATAAGTAAATAACAAAGCCTTAGCTGGTACAAAACTTATTAGTCACAGATGTGGGGAACTAACACAAGGCCACACTAATCTCTGGGATTTGTACTAAGCACCACATGGTACAAAACTAAGCATTAATCACAAATATAGGGACCATACACTATTTTGCTAAAGTTAAAAGCATTTTCCAACACCTTCCCACAATGCTGCAGTGTTCGGTCCAGTTCTGTTTAATATCTTTATTAACAATTTAGATGAGGGGATCTAGTCCACCATTAGTAAATTTGCAGATGACACCAAGGTGGGGGTGAGTGTCATTCTGGAAGGCAGGAGGGCTCTGCAGAGGTACCTGGATAGGCTGGAGAGTTGGGCTGAATCCAATGGAATGAAGTTCAACAAGGCCAAGTGCCGGGTCCTGCACTTTGGCCACAACAACCCCTGCAGCGCTACAGGCTGGGCACAGAGTGGCTGGAGAGCAGCCAGGCAGAAAGGGACCTGGGAGTTTCAATTGAACATGAGCCAGCAGTGTGCCCAGGTGGCCAAGAAGGCCAATGGCATCCTGGCCTGCATCAGGAACGGTGTGGCCAGCAGGATGAGGGAAGTGATCCTTCCCCTGTACTCAGCGCTGGTGAGGCCACACCAGGAGTGCTGTGTCCAGTTCTTGGCCCCTCAGTTCAGGAAGGATATTGAGGTGCTGGAGCAGGTCCAGAGAAGAGCAACGAGGCTGGTGAAGGGACTTGTGTTCAGGTCCTATGAGGAGAGGCTGAGGGAGCTGAGGTTGTTTAGTCTGGAGAAGAGGAGGCTCAGGGGAGACCTCATCACTCTACAACTCCCTGAAAGGAGGTTGTAGCCAGGTGGGGAGTGGTCTCTTCTTCCAGGCACCTATCAGTAGGACAAGAGGGCATGGTCTGAAGCTCTGCCAGGGGATGTTTAGGTTAGATGTTAGGAAGAAATTCTTTACAGAGAGGATAATCAGGCATTGGAATGGGCTGCCCAGGGAGGTGGTGAATTCTCCGTCCCTGGAGGTGTTTAAGAAGAGACTGGATGTGGCACTTAGTGCCATGGTCTAGTAACTGTGGTGGTAGTGGATCAAGGGTTGGACTTGATGATCTCAGAGGTCCTTTCCAACCCATCTGATTCTATGATTCTATGATTTTATGATCAATCAGTAAAGCAAGTCTTCAGGAAGAATTCCTACTTTCTTCCCAGTTGAAGATACAAATGCAAGATGTTTGAACAGTAGTAGAATTCTTCTATTTAGACTTACATTTTCAGCCTAAAGTTTTTGTATTTTCATGGAGTGATGGGTTAATGCATCATGAAGATTATTCACAGAGGGTAATTTTAACCTATGGTGCCTAATTTCTCCTGTTTCCTTTTATGCCAATCAGTGGGTGTGGGGGTTAGATTCCTTAAGAGAACAGTCTTCAGTGATCTAACTGAAAAGTTGTATCCTCTGTTGCTGAGGGATTTAGGCTCTACTGATTGTAGAAGTAGTCTATAAACACTAACTTCTCTTGATATTTCTATAATAACCAGCCTCACATTTCCTCAAAGTATCTGAATTTGGCTTGTCTTTCCATGAGTCTGTCTGCATACCTGCCCATAGGTGCTCTTTCCTAATGATTTTGGACCCCAAGATGGTTTTAGGAAAAAGTTTTAGAAGAAAGGAACTCTAGAGTAGGACAGAATGGAATGGAATGGAACTGAATAGGTTTCACAAACACTGAGTATAGTAGGACAATTCCCTCTGTTGACTGTCTGGCTGTGCTGTGTTTGATGCACACCAGGATGGAGTTTGCTCTCCTGACAGCCCAGGCATACTGATGAGGGATGCGGAGTTTGCTGTTGATTAGCATGCCAGATCCTTTTCTGCACGGCTGCTCTCCAGCTAATCATCTTCCAGTCTAGCTTCATGCCTAAGTCCCAGCATCTCCATTTAGTATCATCAGTAAATCTGCCAATTCCTGCATCCCGATAATTGATAAACATATGAAACAGAACTGGCTCTAGAAGTGAGACCTGAGGAAGGGCACCAGCAGCAAGCCAGACAGAGCCCCACTCACTACAATCCTTTGAGCTCTATCCTTAACCAGTTCTTCACCCAGCACACCTTGTACCTGCTCATCCCACAGCTGCACAACTTATCCAGAAGGATGATGTGAGGGACAGAGTAAAAGCCTTGTGAAATCCAGAAAACCAATGGGCATATTGGATGAAGCCTTCCCTTCATTCTCTGGGCAGGTGACCTCATAATAGAAGGATAACAAATTAGTTAAACAGGACTTTCCCTTTGTGAACCTGTGTTGACTGCGCCTGATGATCACATTTTCTCTGAATATCTTTCAGTAGTATCCAGTACAATCTCCATCATTTTCCCAGGTATTGAGGTTAGACTCCAGGTTTGTTATTCCCTGGGTCTTCCCTCACACCCTTTTTTTGTAAATTGGAATAACACTGGTAAACTTTCAGACAGCAGGGATCTCCCTGGACTCCCAGGACTTTTTAGATTACCAAGAGGGGTCCTGCCATATCATCTGCCAGCTCCATCAGTACCCTGGGATGAATCCCACCAGGATCCCACAGACTTGTGAACATTCACCTGATACAGCTGGCTCTTAGTTTTAGTGTCCAGGAATGACACCACTGTTCTCACACTCGTGGTGCTCTGACTCTGGGGATGGGACAGCCCAAGGTCTGTGAGTTTATGAAAATCTGAAGCAAAAAACCCCAAAATGCTAAATACCTCTGCTTTTTCTTCAACCCTGTTACTCAGAGTTCTAAGTAAATGGATGACTGGTGATTCTTGTTGCTGAAGGGCAGTAGGAATATGGGATACATTCATAGAAATCACATTTCATTAGGTCCAGCGTTCACTTTTTTCTTCTTTGGGGATGAAGTTTATTCTCTGTCATGGTTGTCAGCATTCAACGTGTACCAATGTAGATATTGGTGTTCATAAACAATTATTTTCTAACTTTATGTTTAGAGTGTACCCAACATGGTAATACTGAACAACTAAAAACTTTTGCTGTAGATGGAAGCAGGTTAGGGTACCATTATCTAATACATTGTTGTTGTTTTGTTTTGGTTTAGTTTGGTTTTTGGTTTTGGTTGGTTGGTTGGTTTGTTGGTTTGGTTTGGTTTTCCAAGAAGCAACTGTATTTATTATTGGGGCAAACTGTAGGAATGCTTATGCTGACAAGAGGACTGTAGGAACCCTTATGCTTGTTGAAATATTCCACACAAAGTTGATAGCAAGAGATTTCCCTCAGGAACAACTAGTCATATTAATAAAAACCAGTATGCAAACCTCATCTTGTTTTGGTTGATATTAAGTTAGCTTTCTTACCAGAGGCTGTTATGGGAGTTGTGTTTTGGATTTGTGCTGAACACAAGGTTGACAATACAGGGATGTTTTCATTATTGGTGAGCGGGGCTTACACATAGTCGAGGCTTTTTCTGTTTTTCACAAGGCCACCTGTTGAGGAGAATGGGGGTGCACTGGGGGAAAACAGCCAGTGACCTCAACTGACCAAAGGGGACCCAGACCATATGGCATCATATGGGGGGGTAAGAAGGAGGAAGGGGGGACGTTTGGAATGATGGTGTTTGTCTTCCCGAGTAACCACTACATGCGATCGGACATCTCCTGGACATGGCTGGACACCTGCCTGCCCATGGGGCACAGTGAACTAATTCCTTGTTTTACTTTGCTTGTGTGTGCGGCTGTTGCTTTCCTTATTAAACTCGAAACCCATGAGTTTTCCAGCTTGTACCCTTCTCATTCTCTCCCCGACCCTACTGGTGCGGGAGTGAGCGAGCGAGCCTGCTGCCTCCATGCTGGCTGGGGTTAATCACAGAATCACAGAACCACCCAGGTTGGAAAAGACCTCCGAGATCATCAAGTCCAACCTAGGACCCAACACCACCATGTCAACCAGACCATGGCACTCAGTGCCACATCCAGTTTCTTCTTTAAACACCTTCAGGGACGGCGACTCCACCACCTCCCTGGGCAGCCCGACCCAATGCCCCATCACCCTTTCCGTGAAGAACTACTTGCTAATGTCAAACCTAAACCTCCCTTGGCGCAGCTTAAGATAGTGTCCTCTCGTCCTTGTTAAGCTACATAAACGCTCATGAAAACAATGTTCAAGAAGAGCTGAACCGCGGTGTGCTCCCCCCGCCCCAGCCGCGCCGAGGGCCCGCCGCGGGCCCCGCTCCCCTCAGTGCTCAGCAGGGTCCCGCCCCCCAGCCGCGATTGGCCGCCTCTCTCCCTCCCGGGTCGCCATTGGCCAGCGGAGGCGCCGCGCGCCGCGCGATTGGCCGGGCGGCGGCGGTGGCGGCGGGACGGGCGGGGTGAGCGCGGAGCGGGCCCGGCCCGACCCGCGGGGCCGCCATAAAGGGGCTCCTGCAGCCCCTTGGGCTGTTCCGCGTACCGAGGTCCTTCCCTTGCGTTGTTCTCTCGGGGACGGCGCTGCGGGAGCGGCCGGTGGGTCGAGTGGGCGCCGCGCCCGTGAGGCCGTTGCGGGATGCAAGGTGCTGGGGGGGCGGCGGGGCACTCAGGGACGCGGCGGGCACGGGCGGGTCTGTGTGGCAAAGGGGTTTGAAATTTTTCCCTTTCTTTTTTGGGGTGTGAGTTTCTTGTTTGGTTGGTTGTCTTGTTTTGGTGTGTTTGATTTCGCCCCCCACAACACGGTGGCGGTGCCTCAGTGGCCCGGGGAGGAAGGGCGGCCCTGTCGCTTCCCAGGGGACTCTGGGCTCGCTGCTGAGGGAGCACTTGGCATCGCCTGGTGCAGCACCCACACTTCACTGGAGGAGAGGTGGGCTGAGCCACCCCCAAATTCAGGGTCTGCAAGAACGTGCCTTGGGCCCAGAATCCAAAGGATGTTTGTTGATGGGTGCTTTTAGCTAATAACACTTTTTTTTTTTTTTTTTTTCCACAGACGAGCGAAATTGAATTAACCTGCAGTAACAGATTAACGGCCAGCAGCGAGGATTTTGCACCTGGAAGAAAGTTGCACCTCCTTCTGTTTAAAAGTTCGCTTGAGCTGCTTGTTCTCAGCAGTGCTGGTTGCGGTGGAGCTGAGGTCTGTCAAGATGCTCTACAGTGCTGATAGGTCTGGCTGGATACTACTGATGAATTAACTCAGTGAAACATATATTTCAGTTACATAGCGTGTGAGTCTCCGTGGTGCACAAAGATGTAAAATGGTTTTTCAAGTTTATTATAACTGCATAGTTATAAGGCTGAGTACTTTATAGGATGTGTTTGAAAGCTTGGAGACTGCGTTTAGGTCATTTTCCCATGCCCTGACTTGTTCAGCCCTTCATTTTTTTCAGTATAGTTCTTGATTTGCACTTGTCTGTGCAACTGTGCACAGTTGAGAAGAATGATTTTTGATAGAATTTCAGAAATTCAGTCTAGAAAAAAATCTGTACTGTAGCAATAGACAGTTCTGTCAGACTGTCAGTGTTCTCTTTTAATGCAAAAATGACAATAGTTACTTTATAGATTGAAATTTCATTTAGAAGTATTTTTTTTTACAGTTGTATAAGCAAATGTATGTAATAAAATAAGTTTATTTGCAGCTTAGTCAGACTTGCACAAAATTGATTTCCTTCTCTTTCTTACCCATTAAAACAAGGAAAAAGTCTGGGAAAAAAGTTATTCACAAAAATCTTATTTTGAAGTTGCATTAAAATGCAGGATCAGGAACACTATGTGAAATAGGCCTTTTTTTTAATTTTCTTTGCAGTGCAGTGAATTGCAGTGTGGTTTAGGTAATGTGCACGAGTTTGTGACAGATCAAACGCTCATCAAGATAAGACATATTGTGAATTATCGCTTTGTTAAACTAGCTGTTTCCACAAAGATGTTTACTTCTGCAAAAGCAAATTTTCACAGCAAATGAAAAATACTGTTTTGAGGTACTGGATTAATTCAACAGAAATTGTTACGGTATCTGTTGCAAAAAGTTAAGCTGGTGTTGCTAGTGTTTTTACATCTCCATGATACTCCAGAGTAACTAGTAGAGGTGTGTACGTTTTGATTCTTGGCCTCTTAGGAAGGCTTGAATGAAAACAGAAGTATTATTGTGCTGTACAGCAGTAGAGGCTAGAATCCCATTGCATTGGGGACATTTTTGGGGCAGGCAGTCCCTGCCTTGTGTGTTTGCAGTATGAGTTGGGTTTGTTTGGCATCGAGGTAATTGGGGGTGTGGGTGTCATTGAAGCTGTGACCATAAAATTTATGGTTCCTTCAAGGTTTATCTTAGTATTTCTGCATAATATTTTGAACAAAGTGTGGGGAATAAAGTTGTTATAATTCATCTATTCACTGATACAGTAGTGACCCTCTCTCCGTTTTAGTGGATAGTCTGGTAAAGTCCACTGCAGTTGCAATGGTGCTTCAGCAGTCTTCTGTCTATATGTTTAGTCACGTATTTCAAACAGGTCCCTCAGGGCTGTTTTGCATTTATTTTTCAATAGGAAAATGTATTTAAAAACTTCATTTAATACCTTGAAACAATGCTGGAGCTGTAGAAACAACTTTGAATGTGGAATAAGCCGAGGTAAACTTGAACCTCTGGAGGAGATACTCAGTTCAGAGCATCCATGATAAGGGAGTGCTCTGACTGTCCCTAAAGGACACACTAACCTGAACTGAGCACGGTACTTTCCATCAGTGTCTGGAACTTCAGCTTCTGTGCTTTTGATAGCCTGAACTCAAACAAAACACACTATGCATCTTAACGGGAGTGTCTTAAAGCACTTTTAGTAGTGTTGTAGGTGCTTAATGCAGGGACAGTTGTTTGGGTTGTCAAAGTGCAAAATGTAGTAGGTCTTACAAGAACGTTGGTTGTCATGCAGGCTGCACCTGGCTGTCTATGTGGAGCAGGGCTATAACTTATTTATATGGGAAATTGAGGTAATTATTGATGAGCTCTCAGTAATGAGTGGAGTACTCTGCAAGGATGACAGAGTGGATGGCCATGTAAATTGCTAAATGCTCATGTGTCATGGTGGGGAAAAAATATTTAGTAATTCTGCTGCCAATGGCATTAATCATTCCGAGTAGTTTCAAAACAGCTTTTCAAATTTAGTTATTTCAAGCATGATGTTTTTATTTTAAACCTTTATGCAGCATTTCAGGTAACTGAAAACGTGACTGTGGAAGCAGAGAGAATTCCAGCTGGCACATATGTGTGTGTGTCTGTAACACTTATTAAAACATGACTTGAAAAGTTTGTGGTGGTTGAGATTCCAAAATCCCCTGTGGCTTTTCTGAGTTGCTGTGGCCTCTCATTATCTCTCTGTTAGATGCTAAGCAGGGGTGGGGGGAAATTCCAAGGTGATAACAGATTTGAGAATTAAATGATGCCACTAGTTGATAATATAGAAAAGTATAATACAGAAAAATAATTCTGATCCTGAGGGTGGGTTGTGGATGATTGCTCAGGAGACTAGTGATAAACTGTTATACCAAAATGTCCTGCCATGTCAGCTTAGTGTCAGAATGTTTCGAAACATTCAAGAGGAGTTTCCATAACCCAGGAGGGAAGTGATTGTTCCAGTTTCTAACATATGTTTGGGTCATCTGCTCTGGCAAAAGTAGAAGTATACCTTGTCTGCTTAAAGAATACAAAAGTTTTGGCATTTTGTTGAGTATTGAGTGTTTGTCTTGCAGCTCTAGAGAGATGCTTCATCCTCTGGAAAGTTTGTAATTGGAACTGAAACAGAAATGCAAAATGTGAAAGTCAAAAAAAAGAATATAATTGGGGGGGGTAGTGACTTAATTTCTGGATATCTTCTGTAGGTAAGATTCTGGACAATCTGTAGGTAAGAAGTGCTACTTCTGTGCCCTTGGTTTAGTACACCTGTCTAGTATACAAAAACTTGTGATATTGAGGAAGGAGAGAGATAAGAAAGCTTGCCTGATAATTAACATCCTATGATAGTCTTCTTTATTAACTGAAAAGATTGGTACAGGGACTAGTGGCAAAGTAAAGCTTTTTATTCCCCAAGTTATAATGCTTTCTAAGGGAGGATGGACTTGCCCTTACTTGGTTAGTGCATGACACTGTCATGTTTTTAGTACTTCAGTTACTTAATCTTCCTCTGTCAAGTTGAGGTTTAATGTGTAATTTTTGCTGAAGCTATTAGTCAGGATAAAAACTGAAGAAGAAAACTGAAAAGATAATAGATTATAACAGTGGTAAAGCAGAGCTGTCAGTTAATCAGATCAGATCAAACACATGATTGAGATGAAGTCAAGGAAGGTGAAAATGTTGCATTTTAACTATTTACAGTTTTGTGTAAGACAGTAAAGAGAACAGGGCTAAAGTTAGAGGAAGTCAATATGAATAAACTGGAAATAATGTGAAGTTGTGTGTAGTGTTGTAGCAGCTGGATTGTGGAATTACTTGAGTCTTTCACCCCACTTGTGCTAATGCAGCTGCTGAGCTTTTTAAGAGGGAAGACAGATTTAGATCTTCAAAGAAGGAGACTTGTTAGAGCTGAGTAAGTTCATGCAGTTTGACGAAAAACTAAATTTCTTCCTAGGAGTTTGTGTGGGACTATGTTCGGTATTTTCTGCTGGGAACTGCTGATAACACAGGGATGTTTTTGTTGTTGCTGAGCAAGGCTCTCATTGAATCAAGGCCTTTTCTGCCTCTCACCCCACCTGTGAGCAGGCTGGGGGTGCACAAGGAGCTGTGAGGGGCCATAGCCAGGACAGCTGATTCCATCTGACCCCAGGCCATATTGTGTCATGCTCAGAATGTGAAGCTGATGTGGGGCAAAGCAGGTTGGCCAGGCTGCTGTTACTTAGGGACTGGGCATCAGTGGTGAGCAATTAGGGGTTTTTTTTCCATCATTCTCCTTCCTTATTTTCATTTCTTTGCCTCCTTATTTTTTTTCTTCAAAAAGAAATTAAACGGTCTTTATCAGCCCATGGGTTTTCTCGCTTTTACTCTTCTGAGTTTGTCCCCTTTCCTACTGGGTGAGAGAGTGAGAGAGCACCTGTGTGGTGCTTAGCTGCCTACCAGGGTTAGACCATGACATAGGGTTTTCTGAGGTTCAGATAAATCCTGGGCACTGAAAGTAAATTCTAACTGAATATTCATTGTTTTGAATAGTAATTTGATACTGTATGTAGTTTGAAGTTCTTGAGCATAATAAAAAAAAATAAAGAATTTTGTGTTAATTTACCCATACTGGCAAGAGAGGGAAATTGTGATAGTAATATGTTGTTTTAATAATTTAAATGGAAATACTTCTCTCCCTTTTGGGGATTATTATATGCCTTTCCTCTGTTAACTGAAATGAAGTAATTTTTCCTCAGTCCTGAACAGTGGTGCTTAGAAAACTGAAAATTCTCTATTCTAATTCAAATTTCCTTTTAATTCATCAGCACTAGGAAGCTTTTGATACCTGTAGGAAAGAAAGAGGTTTAGAATATTGGTTAAAGGTAAAAAATGTTGGACAATACAGTTTAAAAGACAATATGAATATTTTTACTTCTAACTTCGAGTTAATTTGATCAGGGATGTGCTTTCATTATGATTTAGCATTAATCAGGTAAGGTAAAGGGTGCCAAGAATGTGAGTTGGTTTTAAGTTTTGCCCATTTGACAGCCAAATGAAGTCATATACTTCTGGGAATAAATGCAGATTTATTTTTTTAATTTGGTAACCTAGAAAACAGTATTACATACTTTCCTTTTTCAAACCTTGAGTGCAAGATCCTTTTGTTGCCTTGTAGAAGAAAATGTTTTCTGTAATTCATAGAGATGAAAAAAAAAAAAGAGCAACTGAGTAGAATAAAGGATTTAATTTTCCTTCCATGTCAGGTGTTGTTGAGATTGGGACCAGAGTAAACATATAAGTTTTTCAGGAATGCTATGAAAAATCTGAGGAAGAGCATAAAAAGATATGAGTTATTACGAGAATGAAAAAAGAACTTCTTAAATATTTGGGGCTAACTTCACATTTCTTAAAAAAATTCAACTAGTTAAATACCTTCTGCAGCAGAAAGTGACAACACCCTTTCCTCTGTGTGGGATGAAAAACACCTGAGACTGCTTCTTCCACCTCCCCAACTCTTTCCCTTCTCCCATTCCTGCTTCCCATGCCACATTCTCCCAAGTTTTTTTTAATCCTGTGAGGTATGTAATAGGCCTAGGAGGTAACTCTGTGTGTGAAGGAATGATACCAAGGAAATAAAATTCTACATAATAGGGTGAGAATAAGATCCAGGTAAATTTGATGAAATCTTGGGAGGTTTCAGGGGCAGTTATGAAACTCAGTTGCGTGTTCCTTTAACTACAGAAATTGCTGGGTGTGTAAGGGTGTCCATTATATCAGCTTTTGGAAGAAAGGTAGGATTTTGTTCACATGTTCAGAACTGCTTTGGATAAAATGATTTCCTTAATTTATATGATTTTTTTACCATTGCTTCTATGAACTAGACTGCTGCAATAAAGTTCTGCCATCCAGGTAGATCACAGCAGCTCTGGGAGTCACAAATAAAACCAGCCTGCCTGCTTCTGTGGCACTCAGCATCACCCTGTTCAGGAGTTAGGTTCATGCCACAAGTCTCAGAATCAGAGAGTGCTTTGGGTTGGTGATTTCTTTGAGCAGTGTTGTAAGATACCAGTCATACATCCTTGGCCCAAGAAAGCTGCTTTTTTTGGCTCTGGTGTGCAGAATGTGAGGGAATTGAGAAGGTAGGGAAGAACAAAAAGGAATGGAGAGGAAAATAAAGGGAGGTGATTGGGTTTCAGTGGGTGAGAACTGGATCTTGTCACCATGTGACTGATCAGGAAACTCCAGTTGTCCTACTGGCTCTGTAAAGTGGAATGATTTGAGATTTGTGTGTAGGATTGTGGTCTAGAAAGTGGATAACTTCTGAATGCTCAAATTACAGTACTAAGTTGTGAACACCTGAATGCATGCATCTACTCTGATCTTGAACATTGTCTTAATTCTGGAAAAACAGTTTGGGGTTTTTTTTTTCCTTGGAGAAAGAGGACAAGTTGGTTAGACAAGTCAGATAGATTGGGTCTAGGCTCTGAGGTTTCCTGTGCTACAGCCTGTGATTTGCTGTCTCTGGGGAGTGGTATTCTTAGTGCAGTATTTGTAGAATACGCAAGAGGAAACATTCCACTCTACATCTGTTATTAAGGCAGTGCCTGGGAAAGGCTGGACTTACCTGTTTGTGTACTGTGCATCTTAGGAGATGGTCTCTCCTGTTTTTGTTTTTTTGTTTTTTTTTTTTTTTTTTAATCCAGCTCTGGTAATCTGAAATACTTTCCTGCTAATGATCCCTCTGAGGAATTCAGGTAATTGTAGTACCCTTTTGAAATGATAGAGATGTGTGTAGAAGTGAATATCTAGCTTGTGTTCCCTGCCTTAGTTATTTAATCACGGGTGCATTGCATCTCTAAGGTGGTCAGTTTTGCAGAACTGCATATTGTCAGTGAACATTCAGTGTGTTTTGAACAGGACCACTAAACTGAGCTGCTTCTGAAGGAAGCCACTTGTAAGGCTGAGTTAGCCTGGAGTACCTGAGAGAGGATATTGTGTCTCATGAGCTTCATTGCCTGAAGGGTTTCTGGTAAATTGCTGTCTGGATTCAGATGCATAATTGCTGCCCATTTTAAGCATGCAGGTAAATAAATAAATGCCTACATCCTCTTATTTTGAGATATTTTATATCTAGGTAGAAGTTAAACTCTTCTGAAAACCAAATGTGACATCCATACTTTCATATGACATCCTGTGATGAAAGCTTTTGCTATGTTGATCCAATAAATCTTCCCCAGGGCAGAAGAATAATGACTGCATGCTCTATCTTCTAAGAACAGCTGAATACAAGATGAGATACTCTGAATGTGAGAGCATTATTTGGAACAAAATGTAGTGCATTGCCCAGGTTTTTGCTGCTGTGAGCATCAATGTTTTAAAAATAAAACATATTTAGAGAGTTTGACTCTCTTGAGTGGACATCTGCTTTTGAACAATACTGGTATTTTAGAGAACAAAATAAAATTAAGAATTAGACAATTATGCTGTATTTTTACCTTGTTTGTTTCAACCACTTGAGGACAGATTTCTGCTTTGCTGTTGTGATTTACTAATCTAACTGTTGTGTTCTGCTCTTCAAGTTTGGATGTTGCTGCTTTTTGTCAGTTCCCTCTTGCAATCTCCTGACCAGCCACATTGTAATCAGTTGAAATTTAAGAATTGTCAGAGCTTGCTTGAATAAAATTACCTTGCTGATTGTCTTAGTAAAGATATTAGCTACTGGCTGACTAGTTAAAAAAATTGTCAGTCCTGTTTTTCCTGCATTAGTTGCGAAGTGGTGTTTTTTGATTGATTTTTTTCTTTTTTGAAAATAGGTTGGGTTTTCACCTTTCTAAGGAGTGCTGTAGTTAAAAATCCATATTGCCATTTTAGCTTCTGTTGTTTAACATGGGATGGGCAGGTTTGGACAAGTACCTGAAAATATTTTCGATGAAGATGATATGTAATCAAACTACATAGAGCTTCATAGATAAAGGAGGAAAAAAGCCTAAGATGCCTTAATAAGATAATTTTTTTCCTGCAAAGGTTCAGTGTCTTTCATATGTCTCTGCTCATAGATATTCTCTTTTTAAGGGCAATGAAGAGATTAATTTCACAGCCAGGAAATAAAAAAGCTTTTATATTTTTGTCAAGTTTGTAATACTCTATATTAATGGTGGCAAAATTTATCTTTCTGGTCTTTAATGTCAACTTTTTAATTTTGTAACTTTCAAGAACAGAAACTTGCTACTCTGTGAATTCCATATCTAGTAAAGATTAAAAGTGACTTAGGGGGACACAAAAAAGCCACTGTACATTTGAAATACTGAACTTCTAATTGCATTTGTGCAAGCAATAGCCTTTGGATGTGAACCCTTCTGTTAGATTATTAACAGCTGATAGTATTGCTGTATGAAAATCTCTATTACAATGTTGGCAGCTTTTCCCCACTGTTTTTCCTGTTCCTTTGTACTACCTAGCCCATATTTTCTTGGTAAAAGCAGTAAGTTCCGACAGTACAGAAAACTGCTGTAAGAGGAAGCTGTTATGTGGGCAATTCTTTCTGTAGCTATTCCTGAGCATGCTACTTAGTATTAAGAATAAAGCTTTCTCCCTGAGACTTGGGCCTTTTGTTTTAGGAGATGTGATTTGATTAATTATACTTTTCTGGTCACAAAGTTAAGCTGGCTGGGGCTGCCTGAGTTATTCTGTATAATGAGAAGGATTTTCCATTACAGTGCTTGCAAGTCTTTTCTGAAAGCTGATACACTTTGTGTCAGATTTATGTGTAGAAGTGCAAAAAAACAGTTTGACATCTGGACTTAATTTTTAAATATTTTTTGTAAATTGTCTGGTATTCACTACAAATTTGTTAAGGTGGGGTTAAGATGAGTGTTTGCCAATATTAGTTCATGTCAATGAAGAGAGTTACATGCTTGTATAACACACAAGCCTGGAGCACTTCATGTTCTTAATAGTCATATTGTTGGTAAAGCTCAAGACTTCAGAGAAATGGAAAGTTCCATGCTAAAAAAAAGTATATCAGAGTTTTAGGGAAGAGGGAAGTTACAAAGACATATTGTTGTCTAATGAGCACCTGTCTTTCTCTCCTTTATAAGCTCACATAGCAATGGGCCAAGCAGCTGCCAAACCTGCAAGCCCAAAATCTGCAAGAACATGCCAGACTGTTATGGGTAGAAGACATGGAAGAAGACATACCTGGGTTGGCTTTAGACCACTTTGGAATAGTGAAGATGGAGATGCGCATCAACCCAACAAAGACTTCAAACAATTAGACCTGGAGGATGTTCAGGAAGAGAATTCTTTATGTATGTACATATCTTTGTGTATGTGCCGTTTAGTTGCAAACTAAATGGGATGCTTTTGGGTGGAGGAGGAAGGCACATAGAGAAATGTGGAGGGAAGAGAAGAGTCATTTGAATAACGTGTAAAGTACATTGCATATGTTTTCATTTTACCTTCATGCTAAATTTCATTTTATAAAGTATAGTCTAACCTAGGCTGTGTGATTTTGCCTGAATGAGTTAATTCTTTCTAACAAACTAGATAACAATGTATAGTTCAGATTATTTTGTCTTCATAGCAAATTAAAAATCACGCTTGGAAGAGAATGCCTATTCTAACCTTCCATTTGGAACTAGGCTACAGAATATTTGATGTGTCACGTAGCAGGTTGTTCTGTCTTTGTCAGACATAGTGTAAATACAGTGGGAATTAGTTTAAGCCTATAAAAAAATCTTTAAAATTTGTTTTTTATTTGTTTGTACCAGTTAGACTGCTTCCCTTTCTTCTTTAGTGAATACTGGATGCTAGTGTTTCCCAAAATATCTTCTGTGACTTCAGAATATCTTCTGAATAATAATTTTATAGAGGAATACAGGTTGGCTTCTTGGATTAGAAATATAGTCCCATTTCTCTGGCTGAGGTTTTCAGCGAAAAAACCCTCTGCATTTGATATAACCTCAGATCTTCCAAAGTACCTAGGGAAAAAGGACTTGGGAGTGCTGGTTGACACCAACTAAACATGAGCCAGCAGTATCCAAGCCAAGAGGGCCAATGGAATCCTGTCCTGGATCAAGAATAGTGTGGGAGCAGGAACAGGGAAGTGACCATCCCCCTGTGCTGGCACTGGTGAGGCATCTTGAGTGCTGTGTCCAGATTTGGGCCCCTCACTATAAAAAGGACACTGAGGTGCTGGAGCAAGTCCAGAGAAGGGCAGCGGAGCTGGGAAGGGTCTGGAGCACAAGTCTGAGGAACAGCTGAGGGAGCTGGGGGTGTTTAGTCTGAGAAAAGGAGACTCGGGAGGGACCTTCTCACTCTCTACAACTACCTGACAGGAGGTTGTAGTAAGGTGGGTGTAAGTCTCTTCTGCCAATAAATATATAAATAACAAGCAATAGGACAAGATGAAATGGCCTCAAGTTGTACCAGGGGAGGTTTAAGTTGGATATTAGGGAAAATTTCTTCACCAGAGAGTTTGTAAAGAATTGGAACAGGCTGCCCACAAAAGTGATGAAGTCAGGAATTCCTGGTGAGGAGTGCTGGAGGTGTTTAAAAGGTGTGCATACATGGTACTTAGGAACGTGGTCTAGTGGTGGACTTGGCAGTGGGAGACTTATGGTTGTACTCAGTGATGTTAGAGGTCTTTTCTAACCTGACTGATTTTGGGGTTCTGCATCAGCATTTTTCCCTCCTTCCTTTATAGACTATTTTGAACTGTTTTCTTCTAATTTTTTTTTTATAATAGCATCGTGCTGGTTTAACTTTGTCATATGGTCCTGTTCTTGTAGTATTCTGTGATGCAGATTGTCTTGGGATGGTTTTAATTTTTTGTAGTTTGTATATTTTTACTATTGTCTATGCTTCATATATTTTCTACACTTTCATCTAGTTAAAGGGTTATCTCCTGTAAGGGAGTGTTGACATTTATGGAGACCTTCCTACTGTCTCTGTATAATGCTACCACATTTCTTGTTTCAGTTACACAGACATGAACATACAGTTATTTTAGGAGCCACTAGTCATATGCAGTTTTTTAAGGGTGTATTATCTCCTTGTTCTTAATACAGTTGCTCTGTATGTAAATTAGACTAATTAGAAAATGCCTTTTCATTACATTTACTTGTGTATGTTACAGTTCTTCAGATTTCTCTTTGAGAAACGTTTTGGATTGATTTACTTTCTTTACCTGAACTGACTTACATTTTTCCCCAGTTGATACTTATTTTTGTATGGGTAGGTATTACCTAAAATGCTGCACATTTCCTTCCTAACTGGCATGACATTTTATATAGAATCATATAGTATCATTGAATATCCTTGGAAGGAGACCCATAAGGATCATCAGAGTTCAACTCCTGGCCCTTCACAGGTCATTCCAAGAATCACATAATAGAGAGTATCATCCAAATGCTTCTCGAACTGTAAGGCTTGGTGCTGTGACCACTTCCCTGCGTGGCCTGTTCCAGTGTTCAGCCACCCTCTGGGTAAAGCAGCTTTTTCTAAAAGCCAACCTAAACCTCCCCTGACACAACTTTAGGCTGTTCCCTCGGGTCCTGTCACTGGTCACTACAGAAAAGAGATCAGTGCCTGCCCCTCCTATTCCCCTTGGGTGGAAGCTGCAGACTGCAGTGAAGTCTTCCTTCAGTGTCCCTTCTCCAGGCTGAACAGACCAAGTGCCCTCAGCTGCTTCTCATAGGAAGGTTCCTCTAGACCCTCACCATCTTTATGGCCCTCCTTTGGATGCTCTCTATTGTGGTGTCCAAAACTGCCCAAATATTTGAGGTGAGGCTGCCCCAGGTCACAGCAGAGCGGGACAATCCCCTCTCTTGCCCAGCTGGCGATGCTTTGCCTGATGCCCCCCAGGACAGGGTTGACCCTCCTGGCTGCCCGGGCACTGCTGACTCATATTCAACTTGCCATCAACCAGGACCCCCAGGTCCCTTTTCCATGGCACTGCTTTCCAGCCTGTCATTAAATCTCTCATGTAGTATCATCTGCAAACTTACTTGATGTACCTTTGAGTCGTGATTCCAAGTTGTTCATGAAGATGTGGAGCCCCACTAGTGACAGATTGACAGCCTTATGTCACACCATTCACTATAGCCCTTTGTGCCTCACCCATCAGCCAGTTGCTTACCCACCACATGATGCATATGTCCAGCTGTGAGCTGGGGATTTTGTCCAGAAGGATCCTGTGAGAGACAGTATTGAAAGCTTTACTACTTTTGATCAAAAAACTGCATTAACTGGCTTCTCTTGATCCAGTAGATGGGTTACCTTGTCACAAAAGGAAATTAGATTTATCCATCAGGACATTTCCCTCATGAAGCCGTGCTGGCTGTAACCAGTGGCTGCATTCAAATGTTTTTCAATACATCCTGGATTCATATTCTCTGTAATTTTAGCAGTCAAAGTGAAACTGAGCAGCCTGTAGTTTCCATGGTCATCCTTCCTGCCCTTCTTGAAAATTGGGAAATTGTTTGCCAGCTTCCAGTTGACTGAAATAGCCCTGTGATTCTCAAAATCACTGAAAAATTATTGAAGGAGGCCCTGTGATGACATAGCCAGCTCTTTGATTATCCTTGGATGAACCCTATCAGCCCCTCCTAGATTTATAGAGATCCAGCTGGAGCAAGCAGCAGATCCCACACAAGTTTGGGGTCAACTGAGAGTTTATTGTTCTCACAGACGTGGTCCTCCAGCTCGGGGCACTGGGACCCCCTTAGCTTATCACTGGTGTTAGAGATGGAGGCAAAGAGAGATTTAAACACCTTTGCCTTGTTTATGACCCGTTCTGTGAGCTGACCGTCCTCAGCTTGTAACATGCCGTGTTATTTCTGCACTGCCTTTTGCTCTTGCTGTATTTAAAAGAGTTCTTTTTATTGTCCCTTGCATTTCTTCTGAGCTTCAACTCCAGCTGAGCTCTGGCCACATGAATTTTTGCCCTACAGTGACAAGCAGACTCTCTGTATTTCTCCCATATTACCTGACCTTTCTTCCACTGTGCATACACCTTCTTTCTTTGCTTGAGCTTCAGAAGAAGGTCCTTGCTCAGCCAGGTCAGCCATCTGCTTTCCCTGTTTGACTTCAGACATCTTGGAATTGCCTGATTTGGTGCCCTTAGGAGGTGGTGCTTAAAATGTGACCAGCACTGATGAACTCTAGCCCTTTCAGAGGCTTTTTCCTAGGGGACCTCACAAACTGGTTCCCTGAGCAGCCTGGAGTGTACTTCCCTTCTGCCCAGGGCTGAGGTTTTGCTGGCACTTTTCTTTCTGTCACCTGGGGTTTTTTACACTGGATCACTTCATGTTTGCAGTGGCCAAGACCGCTGCCAGTCTCCACTCATGAGACCCTCTCTGTTAATAAGCAGCTGCTCAAGGAAGGCACCTTTCCTAGTCAACCCTTTAGTGCCTGTATCATGGAGTTATCATCCAGGATTTAATGAATCTAGGAAACTGGAAGATGGGTAGGAGGAGATCTAATCTTGTAAATACTAAAAGTATGACTGGTTTTGGTCCTTGGTAACCTACTATATGTGAATTTGCTTGAGCAAGTGGACTGGACTGGATGATCTCCATAGGGGCCTGCCTGCCAGCCTTGGCTGTTAGCAGTTTAGTAATGGAGCTTCAAGATTTTAATTAGATAAAATGTAATTATACAGTATCACTTTCTGGAAGCCAGACTCCCGGTGCTGAGGGGCATAGCTCTCCTAAGATTCCAGTGCCATGAATTAACCAACCTAGTCGTGGATAAACTATTTAGATGAGAGATGAGACTTTCTTTTTTTTTTTTTTTCCTAATTTTTTAGGGTCTTGTAGTTATGTTTCTAAACCCCTAAATATTAACTTAAAGTACTTTCAAGTTATGCAAACCATTTTATGTTCAAAAATAGACAGGACAATTGCCTTGGATAGGACTTTACTTGAACAAAAGATTGATTTTGTAGTAGCAGCAGTATACATATTTTTACCTTTTATAACTCTTGCTGCTAAATTTGATGCTTATTGTCCCTTTATGCAAGAGGTGTTCTAGGGTAATATAACTAAACTGCATTTGTGATGATGCAACTCTTAACTGCAATAACCCATTCAACCCTGCTAATATTTTCTTATGTGGAGTTGTACTCAAACGTACAAAATACAGTGCTCTTAGGATGTAATTTATAGAACCAATAGAGCCATCAAAGTGGCTTTATCTGAGTGTGGCAGAACACACAGTTTAGCCAGTGAATGAATGACTAGTCCAATATGGAGAGAAATGGTTTTTTGAGTTTTTCTGTTTATCATATAATTCCCTTCTTTATAAATAGTGTAAAAATTCTGCTTATGAACATGTTCTTTTAATACTTTTTTTCCTATCACATCCTGAGCTGTAATTGTATAATTTAGGTCTATTTCTATAGGCTTAGTTTGTATAGAAGAGAAAGGAAATATATTAGTGAAGAATGATTGCATCTCTGATAAATATTTCTGCCTATCATTTTGCACTGTGATCCTAGTAAATTATTCCTTCTTTTTATTGAGCAGTTGTTGTAGATGAGAATATTTCTGTTGAGTTTGATTATTCCAATGCATTTTTTTCGTACAGCTTTCTCTGAAAGTTCCAGACCACTAGTTCAAGTTCCTCCAGCTTTATTAGATAAGCCTTTGTCAGAAAATGCTGGAACTAGAGAACCCATTTGCCAAAATGTGTCAAGCCAAACTTCTGAAGTGAACAGGCCACCATTTTCTGTAGTCTGTACTGGTCTGGAAGGTAATGAAATCTCACAAAACTTTATGAATCCTGATGAAAATTCTGAGGACTTTGCAAAAAACACATCTGGAAGACATAATGATTTGAATGGTAAGAATGGAATTGCTTTTGTAAACATTGACTCCTATGAGCCAGATAGCAGTGATGGAGAGGAAGATGATGCTGAAGACAAATGCTCTTCAGTAAAAGATGTAACATGTCTCATTCAGGGAAGAATAGATAACATACTTTCTCAATGTGAAAAAGATGTGGAATGTCTTACGGACTTAGAGTCACGACTGTCTGCTCTCAACTACAGTGTTTCTAGAGAAAATTGTGAAGGAGCAGGACCAGTGCTTTTGGCATGTCCAGACAATAGGACACTTACATCCACTGAAGATCAACCTATATCAAAAAGTAACCTGAGTGGCACCAGCTGTGAAACACAGCAGATAAATAATATAGTGAATGTTGGAATTGGAACCCCTGTTGCTGATGTACTGAATGTCACTGATGGAAAGGCTGACCAAGAAAAGTCATCTGGGCCAGTAGTGAGACCTAAAATTAGAACACGAAATACTGCAAGCCACCTAGAAGGAGAAAAGCAACTCCCTAATGATGATGAAGAGGAAAAACGCCTTTCCTCTCCCTGGAAGAGAATTGGAGTTGCTGATGGCCAGCATTGCCATCCTGAGTGTCCCTTGAGAGACAGCAAAGAGATAAGTTCTGGTATGTTCTTTCTCTCAAGAGTGCGTGGTGATCAAAAGAACACAGAAAGAGACCTAGGAAAAAATGCAGCAACTCAAAACCAAAAAAGTTTTCAAGATGATAGCAGTTTTTGGGACGAGTCTGAAGACTCCAACAGATACTACTTAATGTCCCATGAAGATGAAGACAGGTAAAATTTCAGTTTTATATTTGTTTTAGTGTTGAAGCTTTTGTGTAAATCATGTGCAAAACTGAATAATATGTTAGCAAATGGGACATGGAAACTTTGAGACAATTCTGAATATGATCAGATAACAAGATACCAACAGTTCTTCTTCACTCTTCTGGTAATGTAAAAAGCCTTTACTTGTATCTAGGGTTAGATCGTCTTACCACTAAGGAAAATCAATTGTTTGTCTTTATTTTTACAGAGCAGATGGTGGGTAGAGAGGGAAAGCTTTGTTCAGCATGGTTTTAACAAATTAAGGGTCTTTGAAAGTTCCGTTCAAGAGTTACTCGTTTCAGAATTTGGGGTTTTTTCCATCAAATTTCACTGTTCTCTGTGGCAGCCTATATATGTTCTTGTCTCCAGCCCTTTGAGAGAAATCATTCTTCCTTGTACTGTCTGAAGAATAACTTAATAGGGTTGCATATATCCCCTTTTTAATGGAAATTCTTCAGACTAATAGGTGTTTCCAAAGTAACTATTAATGGTTACAAAAATTTGCCTAGTCTTACTGTATGCTTAGATAATCTTTCTAAATATATATTAAAAAACTTGACCAAACAAAATAAATCCAAAACAAACAACAAAACTTCCAACCCAAAACCAGATAAAGAACCAAATAAAAAAAGGGTTCTAAGATGATAGTATTCAGCTTTAGTTGGTGCAATATCAGATGCATTAGACTACCTATCAGAATTTCTTAGTAGATGTGATTTCTTTTGTAAATTAATCCATTAAAATAACTCAGAGTTAATGAATATTCTTACTTCCATCACCTTTCTTAGTCGTCAATATTGGCATAGAAAAACATTTTCCTGTCTCAGATTAAAATTCTTAAATATAATCTGTGGAAATCCTTCATTCTTGTAATACTTAGTGTATAATGTGCAGTTTTTTGGAAGTACTTAGATACTGTGGAAGTTCTTACAACTTTTATTGACTTGTAATATGAGATATAAGGAGGGTTAATGTAAAGTGAGTTTGTGAGGTAGCATTAATACACCTAAACATACTGGGTGTGGCAGATTGGAAACTGAGCTGTGGGTGTTGTGGATTGCTATATAAAATATGCTCTATTGAGCATGTTTGCTATTCACGTATTTGTTTTCTCTAACTTTTTGACGTGACGTGGCTATTTGACTGCATTTTGAATTTCAGTAGGGATCAACTGTCACTGTATTGAGTGAACCTTCTAAGTGGCATTACCAGTGGTAGCAGTAGTTCATCCTTCTGGAGATTCTGCTACCATTACAATTTTAGCTGCCCACAACTTGTTATTTACTACCCTTTTCTGTGTGGCGGCTGAGCAAATTGTCTTTGAAAAAACTCCCTGCCATTCATCTGTTTGGGCTAGTGAATTACATAATTTGCAGAGAGTCATCCACTGTATCTTTCTATGATTGAAAGAAAAGGATCATTCTATATGGCTTATATGTTGTGAGAGGTTTCACTTTAAATTTGTTTGGCTAAGAGGCAAGGTTGGCTTTGCTTATTATTTGTTAATCAAGCACTGGTGTTCTCAGTGTCACTGCTGCTGTTTCTGTGTTCTGGGAGAAAGATGTGTATACTGAGTCTGGGTTTCTGTTCTTGTTTCATGTACTCTGCAGATGTGGAGGGGGAAGAACAAAACATTTTTACAAAGTAGGATGGGCAGAGTTCATGATTTATTTTTTTTCGTATAGACTGGTTGGTTTTTTTTATCAGTTTTTTATGTATAGTTGACTTGTAATACCTCTATAAATAGCACAAAATTAATTTTTCCTAGGAAAAAAGATTGTCTATATTGAGCACAGTGTTGACAGAAGAGTAGAAAATTGCAGAATGTTGATTTTGTTTCCCCTCAAGCAGTGTTTAAATTCATGCCCTGTTGCCTTGTTTAAATGGCAGCTCAGAATGCAGCGATGGAGAATGGGCTACGGCTATGCCTGCCTGTTTGACTACTGTGGAACAAGAGCAGTCCTCCAGTGAAGAAAGCTGGGAGACTCTCTCGGGCAGGGATGAATGTGAAGTGCAGAGCATCACCCGTGATGTTAAAGAAGAGAACACAAACTGCGGTTTCCAGGAAGGGTATGGCTTTATCTCATATGGCTGACTTCCTGTAGTTTCTGACTTCAGCACTAACAGGGTTATCCCCATGACACTACATAAAAAAGCAGTTGCTATACTAGCAGCAATCATTACAACAATTTGAGTAGTTGTGTGTATTTCAAATCAGGGAAAAAATGACATTTCATGGAAACAATTCTATTTAATGAAAGAGAAATAATGAGGGCATTGGCATGTAGTGTCTATATGTTTTAAGATTTGATATAGTGACTTTAGAAAGCCAGATTACAAAAGCTAATTGTTAAATGTTACATAAAAATCTTCTGATATTGATTAGTACTCCTTGAAAAGCACTTGTTTGACTCTTTGCTCTATTGCTTCTCCTGTACCACTGCTGCTCCTTGTTTTCTGCAGCCCTATCAGTGATTCAAGTAAACCTGAATTACGTGCTTGGTGTATTTTATATAACTTACTTATTTTTCCAGTCATTCAGTACTTTATGAACTGTAGCTGCAAGTCAGAATTTGTAGCTATATTGAGCCAAGGAAAGTGTTTGGTTTTGTTTTTTAACTTAAGCATCTAATATTGGCTTTAGCTTGTGTCTTTATAAAGCAAAAAAGCCACACCTAAGTGGTGTTTCAGCTTCTTCAACTCTTGACATCACCTGTTGCCAAGCAGTTCACTTTGCTGTTGATTCTTTTTTAGTATTCGTATCCCTTGAGGTTTGGAGAATTAGTGTGACTTTATGAAAACTTTACAGAAACTCATCTCTTTCAGAATAACAACAATGCAGCTGTTTAATCTTTAGCTTTGATGTGAACAGCCTGCAAATGTACACAGTTTTAATGTGATTCCTGTGTATTTACCCATTTATAAGGAACATGGGACTCACAGTCCTGTGGCTGTAAATAAACATCCAAGTGACTTGTGCTCCTCTAGAATATTCAGGAGTGAGATGATACTTTCTCCTTATGCAGATAGCTTCCCTTGCAAGTAGTAGCTCTTTGCGTTGCATTCAGGCCAAGCTTTGCCATGAAGACCTTCTTTTTGATAAATAAGAAAATGTTTAGTACCAGATTTACTAACCTTGGTGGGGCTGTACTGCTGACCTTGAGCATTAGACAAATAGCTTTGCTATAGAACCATGAGTGTTACTGAATTCTGGTTCTGAAGCTATTACCACTGGGAGTTTCTTGAATTTTTATGGCAAATCCTGAATTCTTAACCTGGGACTGCTGTCTGGGAAACATTGTCTCTTTAGTCTTTGTTGTATGTTGAGCTATTGTTGTTCACATATGTTTGTAAATTCTCTTAGCTTTTTAATTTTACCTTTTCATTTATTTATTTGAAGGGAGGAAGGTGAGCTTGTTTGGTTTCAGTACCAAGAAGAAGTAGAAAGTAGCAGTGATGAAGAAAATTATCCAATTAATGATTTCATTCATCCTGCATTCTTCCTGTTCAGTGGAAATAACAACTTTGAGGATGACTCCAGTGTGAGTGAAGACATGGATGTGGAGTGGAGGTATGCATTTGATAGTTGTCTGCCTTAATTTCAGAGGTTTTGAAGTTCCTATTTTAGTTTTTATGTAGGTGTTGAAAGTGTACTCGTGGCTGGCTATCTGTGCAATTGCTTCAAAGGCTTATAATCTCAGTTTTAAGATTTAAGGTACTTCAAGTGCTGTGTGTCTTTTAGTGAGAGAAAAAGGATGTAGATTTGCTAAATTAGTCTGTGATTTGAGAAAATTCTGGTGCCCTAAATATTCAAGGGATGGTTGGGCCTTTTCAATTACATTTCAAGATGCTAAGTATAATTAATTTTCAAGTGTAAGTATAACAAAAGTAAAACAATATAAATGTAATCAGCATTCAAGTCAGCCCTTTTTTGTAACTGGTCTTTTCCTCCTTTGTTGTAGGTTAGACATTATAAGCCTCTTTTATTTTTCTTTGAAATGCCATGCAATTACCTAATTTTATCATAATTTTGAATGCTTCACTCAATTTTGTCATTAGATCACTGAAGAATATTGCAATAAACTTATTACAGAAATGCTGCAATACCTGGAGTAAAGTGATATGAGCCACATTCACAGCCTAATCCTAGAAAGTGTTTGTTTTAAAGTGAGCTAGACAGAGGGCTTTCCAGTGAGAGAATTAACACTTGCTCTCTTCCACTTTTTAAAATATAAACTACAGTCCAGACTTACCAAAAACACTGGTATTTTCTCCTTGAGAAGTTATAGTGTGGAAAGGCACAACAGGGACTAACTAATGCATGAAAGTACAAATTAGAAGTGAGGCAGGTGTTCTTGCAATGTCAGGCAGTAAGCCAACAAAGGAATACTATGATAGGGACAAAAGCTGGCTTTTAAATGTTGGAGGTTAGCCTTGGTAAGCTTCCTAATTACAAAAAACAGGAAGGAAGATGTTAATGGTCTGTTAAGTTTTTTCAGTTGACCATATGCAGATCCGCACATGATTTTGCTTGTTTTAAGGTTTGATTTCTGATTGTTGAAAACAGAACTCGGAGGAACTGTCACAGACCTGACACTGGAGCAGGGAAACAGTGTGAGGGGGAAGTAATTACAGAGAGCCACCACCATGCACTGAGCAGAACCCCCATTCCCTGTCTCTCTGCCCTGCTCATGGTAGAAGAACATACAGGAGTCAAGAATGAAGTAGACAAGTTGAGCTTGGAAATAAAAAAAAGGCTAAGGGGAAGGTGTTTTAGTTTTGGTCTTTGCTTTGCACCATCACAATCCATTTCTTTTGGAAATAAATGAATAGAATTGTAGAGCGGCCTAAGTTGAAATGAACATAAAAAGATGATCTGCTTCAACCTTTCAATTAAATTAAGGTTTTCCCTAAGATGAGTCTGTTTTTCCTTTGGTGGTGTTTTATGACTGATCTTCCTGTGTTTATCTTGACCCATGAGCTTTTAATCTTACTTACATGACTGTACAGTTGAGGTAGAGGAGAGTGGGAGATCAGCTGGCTGGGTATCTGGCAGTTATTAACAGGTGATGTGCAGTAAATTGATGTACCCGGCCCTCACGTTGCTACTGTTTACTTTGAAATTAAGACCATGTTTCCTAACCCATATTTTTCAGAACACTTGATGAGTTTGAAGTCCTAGGACTTGCTCTAGACATACCTTATGTGAACCCTCAACTTCTCACATTTGTGGCACTAGAGGGACGCTTAGAAGCTATGGAGGTATTAAAATATTTTTTGTGGTCTTATACTAGCGATGTTGTGACAAATGTTTGTTATTAAATCCTTTTCATACATAATCTGAAATCCAGCAGAAGCAGGAAAAAAAATACTTTCCTGTGTTAGCTTGAGCTTTCAGGTCTACAAATCTGAAAACAAATGTTGGAAATTCTTTTAAATTATGTACTACAAGAAATCATTGATCAGTGCCTCCCCCTTTTAGAATGTGTATTTATTTCCTCTTAATGGAAAAAAAGTTACTGATTTCTACCAGTATAAACTTATGCCATTTCATTTACTCTAAAGAATTTTACCAAATTCTGTATATAACAAAGGAAAGCTTATACTTTGATCTGTACCTGTGAGTTGTCCCAGCTTATTGTTATTTAAGAGAACACATTTGGATGTATCAAATTTTTATATATCAGTAAAAGACTTTTCTTTATTTGACTGTCTTGACTCTGTGTGTTTTAAATAGAGAAAACCCCACAGTAACAAGCAAACAGAAAATCCCAGTCAGAAAAACAAGCCATCCTAAGAAACAAAAAAAAAGCCTTTTAGCTTGTTCTAATCCCATTTGATCTGTCTAATTTTGGATAAACCAGAGCATTTATTATCAAGAACCAGCATCGTTATGATCTTTGTCCTTTCTGTGTTACTTGATGTTGGTCAATGTCAGAGTGAATATAGGGCTACCTGAAATCCAGTTTGATGCAGTGTGACAATTCTTGCACTGCCAGAAATCTCCCCTGGAGGGTATTTGTCAAAATAAAAGTTAAGTGGTATGTAGACATATAGTATGGTGTTACAAACAAGTGAATTGGATGTTTTGTGGGTGAGATAAGTTTAGGGCAGCAAGGAGCAGTTTGACTACTTGCACCTTCTGTAAAAGGTTGAACAGGGCAGGCTGTATGTCATAGTGTTCCTGCAGACAAAATACCAAGGGCACTTTGAAATGCTTTCTAAAGTTGGCAGATAGTGGAAAAATCACAGATAATGGTTTTTTGTTTGTTTGTTTTTGCCATGGATATGGGCAAAGTCAACTACTTTGTGAATAAACTTCATAGACTTTCCAAGGGGCTGGAAAGGGTGTTCCCTGCAGTTGGCAGGCATGCAATTTCCAGGTATTGTGCATCCCCCAAGGTATATGGCAGGTCATCATCATTCATGATCAAACACCATAGGTTCTTTTCCAGCTGTGCAGGATCTTGTTAGCATTACTCAACTGTAGACACTTCAGAACAGCTTGTTAATGGGAAGAAGGTTGATAATAATGGCCAGTCTTTGCGAGCGAAGATCCGGGGAAGGTCTTTACACCTTCCAGCTTGCGCATTGGATTTTTTAGGTGAGACACAGTGTGCGCGGAACTGAGCCCACCCTTTAATCCTAAGGTTCATCTGCCGGGGCCAAGCGAGCTTGGACGGTGGCAGCGAGGTCCTTAGGACGTAGGTGGGTTGCCTTTAAGGGCTAACGAGCTCTATCTGCCTGGGGAGGGTCCCTGACCGGGAATCGAACCCGGGCCTCAGCGGTGACAGCACCGCGCCCTTACCACTAGACCACCAGGGGCTCCCTAAAGAAGGTTGATATCCTTCTTGTAAAGGCAGTATTTTGAAGTTGTATAGAGAAAATTCTTGTCTCTTTCATACTGCTGGTTCTCACTACATCAAAAAAACCCAGAACTACAGAAACAGTTGACCTTGTCCTTTGCACCAAAGCAAGACAATTTTTGTAGAGAGGGGAATCTTAATCCCATCTTTTTTTTTTTTTATTAATTTAGATGTTAACACTTGAAGAGGAGACTTAGTTTATTATCACTGAGTTTTTCTTTCTCATTCCTGTGTAGCATCACCCTAATTACCTGTCAGAATAAAACTGTGTGGTCTTGTCAGGCTGACCTGTAAGTGTAATCCTAGGTGGTTCTGTGCATGACAGGCTGAGAAGATGCTGTAATTTTGCTTGTGTCACCAGGAACAGAGTCTCACTGAACACTGACAGATGATTACAAAGATAGTTATTCTATGATATTTGTGGTATAGGTCACTGTGATTATTGGGCAAGACGGCAAAGATAATTATTTGTGCTTGAAATTAGGCACTTAATTGTCAGAAACTTTACGGTGGGCATGGAAGTCTGGCATATTTGGAATTAGCAAAAAGAAATGGTAACTGAGTAGTAAAAGGAACCATTGTATTGATTGTACCTGAATGGACAACACAGGTTTTGAGTGAGAATTCTGAGTGTTCCCTTCCAATCTCAAGCAGAATTAGAGCAGTATGAAAATGGTTACTAAAAATTGTTCAGAAAATATGAGCAATGTAATTTACTGTAGCTATGAAACACTTGAAAGGGATATAACACAAAGCATCCAGAATTTAAGTGTATCCTCACTGGAGAGGAAGGAGCAGGAGAGATCTGTACCAATTAGTTGAGATATTTGGAGGAGAGAAGTAATGAACACATTAGATATTTGTTTTGAAAAGCCATGTTCTGTAAGACTCTGGGTTCCTAACATTTAATAAAATACGTGTGGTTTTTTTTTACTCCATTTCTTTTAAAGAAATTGTGTAGCTGGCAGTCTCTGATTTACTTCATTAGGAGTATAGAACAGGTTGGTTGTCTCTGCAGCATCAGTGACTTCATGAGTATTTCCTGTGCCAGTTCACAGATGTGAGAAGCTCAAACTCTTGTAGGCTGTAGCACTCTGTTTTTAACAGGACAATGTCCAGCATTTTGTTAATGGTACATGGAGAAGTAAACAGTCACACAAATAATAAGAGGAAGGAAATAACTTCATATCTTCAAAATACATTTATCTTATCAAAGTTGTAAAACAGGCACTGCTTTGCTGTGCTTTGTTTTTGAAGATGTGGTTTTAAGCATCAGAGTCATTGTGAGGCTTTGTGTCTGTGACATTTCTTTTGTATAGGTTTCAAAAGCAAGCAATACAGTGTTTTCTGTCGGAAAATATCAATACTGGATGTAGACACAGAGGTTTGACACATCGGTAATATTGCATCCCTCTGTCCGCCTGGGATCTTACCTAATTTTTTCACCTGTGATAGTTTATCTAATTAAGCACAGTGTTTTTACCTACCACTTATTCTCAGATCATTGCAGTTGTAGCAAAAGAACATTACAAAGACTAAAATAATTTTAATATTACTAAGGTAATGTTGTCTGCTGTAGCAGAATTGAATGTTTTTAAGTTGTTATATTGGAGCAGTGTACCTATTTTGCAGAGGGACTTGCATACTGCAGTATGGATAACTATCCCAGGATTTCCTTTATGTTTTCAGATTTCTAGATCTTACACTTCTTACTAGGAGAGTTTTGTGGCCATTAGATAAATAATTTTCAGGCTGATTAGAGCAGTAAGTAATTGCACCCGAGGGGTATGACTATTTCATTCAGGATAGGAACCCAGTGCTTCTGTGTTTCTTGGCTCTTCAGTTTCAAACAGGTCAAACAGCTCTTCAAACAGGTACATCTAGTACATTTCTCAGCAAATAAACCCAAATATTCTGAGTTCTCTGATTTTATGGCTTTTTCCTACTGAATATCCTTTCAGTGTCTTACAGGGTTGAATGTATGATATAAACATCAAATACACTTGCTGTAGCCTTGGAGTCTTAAAGGAGTCTTAAAGATGTTGTATGGTGAAAAATTTAAATTCAAACTGAAGTTACTTCAGAGCACTGTCTGTTAAGATGAGCAACATCTATGTAGATGCTGGGTTTTTATTTCTGGAAGCTTACTTTGGTAGTGTAGCCAAAGTACTTAATATTTTTGTTTGTGCCTGAGTAATTTAATAGTTCAAACCAGGAAACACATTAATGAGGCATTTATTTTCAGAAAGCAAAATGCAGGGACAGTTTTATATTGGCAAAATGTATGTCATTTTCAACTTGCTGCTGTTTCTGTAACTCTATAAAATTAACAAATGTTTATTAGAGATTAATTTATGACTGTCCTCATACTCTAAGAAGGCTTAAAAAAAAAGGCATTACTGTTTTGACTTTGTTTCATCTCATTCATTACAAAAATAGAAATTATGTAATGGCTAGTTTGACTTCCGTTTAAGAAAGTTATAGTATTAGAATTGGATTCCTTTTCCTGCTTGTTTTTATATGAAATGTTACATTTGTGAGTAAGAGAACTTGCTATCTGCTCATCCCTTTCAGGCTGCTCTGGCACAGTTGGAGTCTCTTGCCATTGATGTTGAACAGACTCATCCACCAGCTACTAAGGAAACCATAGATTGTCTGCCAGTGGTTCTCATCACAGGTGACTACAATTATCTGGAAAAATCATGAAAAAGTAGTTTCCACTAAGTTTTTAAGAACAACTTCCTGTAATATCTCACAATATATAAACATGCTTACTTCCAATGTTGTTTTAAAAGCTTTTGAACCTTGAATCAGACTGAGTATAATTTTGATCTATTTGGAAAACTAATCTTTACTAGTGATAGTGTGACTTGTATTTTGTACCCATTAGTGATACTGTTGATAATATATGAATTTTCATTTGAGTTCATCTTAGATACAAAACAAGATAATAACGTTTTTTCTTCATCATGTGTTTAGGTCAAGATCAGAGTTGTACGATCTGTTGCAGTGAATATGTGAGAGGTGAATTCGTGGCAGAACTGCCCTGTCATCATTTGTTTCACAAACCTTGTGTAACTCCTTGGTTGCAGAGAGTAAGTACTAAAGGATTGGTGGGGGGATTTTAGGGGTTTTGTGTATTCTTCTGGGGAGAAGCAACTTTCAACTTTTTGAAAATGATGGTGGGATTGGGATGAAATACCAAAAAACAACTGGCTTTTACATTTATGCATTGTGGAACCAAAGTCTAGTGCAAGTGAAGAGAGAAATTTATATCTGTACTTACCTGAAGGGCAATTTCTTGAATAGAGAGGATATTTTTATGACAGGAATGTTTTGCTTTTAGTCAGAATGAAAGATGTGGTTGAGTTATAACTTGTTCTGGTACAAGAAAACCTTTCTATACTGTCCTCCTAGCTTGAAGTAGAGATGATGGTTTGGTATTCTCTGAGAAGAGCAAAGGGTCTGCTCTGTTTTGCCACAATGTCAGGCCCATTTATGATGTAGGGCTGACAGGAGAAATACTGAAATGCTTATAGATTAATTTTTAAAAATTGTGTTTAGTAATTCCATATTGTATCATTTCATTTTCATAACCTGTAATAAGTTTCCTTCCAAATGTTTTAAAAAGGCTGGCGTTATATCAAAGCTAGACTAAAAGAACTACAATTAATGAATTTGTATTTTTTTTCCCCTTGCACTTGCACTCTCCTTTATGTGCAGTGTGAGCCTGGACTTGTTAGTTCTCAGTCTACAGGATAACACGTCATGTTCTCAAGAGCATAAGAGAAAGGTTAATTGATCACACTAAGGAGGTCCTATCAGATCACATCTAGCATGGAGGGTTGGTAGGTTTAGTTGGTGTGTTTATAATTTTTTTTTCCATGATAATGTTGATTTGATTACCACCTTGATTTTGCTTGTTTTACATGTCTTGCCTTTTTTCTGCTGTCATAGTAAACTGCTCTTCCTGAAAACTAGGACTTATTTTTAATCCTTACCTCAGGAAGAAAAAAATCCCACATGTAAAATCAATGCTTTGCAGAAGAACTTGGAGAAAATCTGGTGCATTTTCTGTGTAACTGGTGTAAAAGCAAAACAAGTCTTTCTTCTGAGTTTATCTGTCTCTTGGCTCAGGTAGCTATCCAGTCAAATTTGAGCTTAAGACAGAGCTGTTGCGAAGACAGTAAATACTTTATAAATAATAACTTTTAGCTTTTCAGTGAAATTGAATGCGAACTGTGCAAATGACCTGGTATTTTCTTCTCTTTTTATAGTCGGGAACATGCCCAGTTTGTCGTCATGTGCTTGCTCCTGTGCTTCCTGAAGCAGCTGATGACACTTATCGTTAACTGATTGATTCAGTATCTTCTACTCAGAGTACTACAAGACCTTCAATCTAGGGTCTGAAATAAAATCTGCCACCAAAATACAAATTTTGCCTGTTTAATTATAAGGTGAAAACAATTCTGTATAAAATATTAACAATCATAAAACAGCTTGGGTGGGAAGGCACCTCAAAGATCATCCTGTTCCAACCCCCTGCCATGGACAGGGACACCTTTCACTTGACGAGGTTGCCCTGAACTCCATTCAGCCTGGCATTCAGGGATGGGGTGTCCACAGCTTCTGTGGGCAACCTCTTCCAGTGCCTCACCATCTTCACAGCAAAGAACTTCCTCCTAACATCTAACCTAAACCTGCTCTCTTTCAGTTTGAAGCCATTCCCCCTTATCCTGTCACTACATGTTCTTGTAAATAGTCTCTCTCCATCTTTCTTGTGAGCTCCCTTCAGGTACTGGAAGGCCAGATTGAGTCATCCCAAAGCCTTTTCTCCAGCCTGAACAATCCCAGTTCTCTCAGCCTTTCCTCAGAGAAGAGGTGCTCCATCCCTCTGATTATCTTCATGGTCCTACTCTGCACTTGCTTCAACAGGTCCATGTCCTTCCTGTGCTGGGACCCCAGAGCTGGATGTGGCACTGCTGGGGTCTCACCAGAGCAAAAGAGCAGAATCCCCTCCCTCACCTACTACCCACACTGCTTTGGATACAACCCTGGATATATTTGAGTTTCTGGCCTGAGTGCACGTTGATGGCTCATGTCCAGCCTCTCACTCACCAGCTCCCCCAAGTCCTTCTCAGCAGGGCTGCTCTTGGTCTGTTCATCCCCCAGCCTTGTGTTGATACCAGGGGTTGCCCTACGCAGGTGCAGCCCTTTACACTTGGTCATGAGATTTCCTGAGCTTGTCCAGCTGCCTCTGGCTCCCCCTCTGCACCACTCAGCTTGGTGTCATCTGGAAATTTGCTGAAGGTGCACTCAATTCCTTCATCTGTGTCATTATTGAAGATATGAAATCCACTTGTCCCAGTATGGGTCCCTGAGGGACACTTCTTGACACCTATCTCCATCGAGACATTGACCCATTGATCACTGAAAGAAGGAATAAGCAAATGTGAAAAATAAGCTTTTTTCCTTACAAGGTTCATGCTTTCTATACATGCACTAGTACATTCAAAGCATTCAAATTCCAGCAGGTTTGAAAGGATAAATTACTTAGTTTGGCTCTTAGACAGAGAGGTAACAGTTTTTTCCTAAATAGCCATAGCAGAAGCAGTTGATGTAGTGTGAAGAGAACTCCCCTTTGAGTCAAAGGGTTTTGGATGAGCTGCCTCATCACAGTCCCTCTACAGCTTTACAGACACTGTCCTTGTTATACAGGGCAGAAAACTGTTTTCCTCCTTGCTTCCTTGTTCTGTGCTTGATTGAATACCTGAGAAAAATGAACTTCTTTTTTTAATATATTAAAGCTGCAAAATGCAATTATTCTTTACTTCTAAAACAATCATTCCCTACAAACCATATGAAGCTGTGAAAGAGTGTGAATTGGAGTATTTGTATTCAAAGGGACCTTATAAATCACCTGCAGATCACTTTCCATGAGTCCACGTTCCTCAAAGCCCCATCCAGCCTGGCCTTGAACACTTGACTCAGCTGCATCATCTCTGGACTGCTTGTTCCAGTGCCTCCTCACCCTCACAGTAAAGAATGTCTTCCTAATACCTAATCTAAACCTACTCCTGATTTAAAACCTTTACCCCTCCCCTTATCACTAGAGTCTGCCCTAAAAAGTCTTTCCTCATCTATCTTGTAGCCCCCCCTCTTGGATACTGGAAAGCTGCTCTAAGAGCTCCCTGGAACCTTTTCCAGGTTGAAGACTGGAGGCTCAACCCCAGCTCTCTCAGCCTGTCCTCATAGGGTGCTTAAGCCCCCTGATCATTTTGTGGCCCTCCTCGGGGTCTGCTTGAGCATGTCCATGACTTTGTTATGCTGAGGGCTCCAGAGCTGTGCTCAGTACTCCAGGTAGGGTGGGAGCAGAGAGGCAGAATCCGCAGACATTGCTGTGTCATGTCAGACTTTTCATCATCCAACACCCTGTTATGATCTGGTTATTAAAATTATTAGAAATGCCTCTGCGCAAATAAAGGTGAAAATGAGACCAGATGCCAAAGCCAATAGTGTGGGTTTTATTTAATGCTAAATGTGAGGCAGAGAAAGATAGAAAGAAATAAAAAAAGAAGCGGGGGAAGAAAGAAAGTGACAGAGAAAGATTACAACAGAAAATGTATCACCACACCATGTAAGGTGGCAGCATTCCGTTAATCCAGTTCTTCTGGTCTTCTTCGTGGGGAGGGTCCCACAAAACATGGAGTCCAGTGTTTTGTGTTTCCATTGATATATGTTCAGGAGATTCCAGGCACCTCCCCTGGAGGTGGGGAGTGAAGGTTTTCAGTCTCTTGGACCAGGGTCTGGATTTGTTCCCACTACCAGCACATTTCTGGTTGAGTGCACTGTCCAAGGGAGTTGAAGTTTTCTGGCCTCTTTATCTTTACATTCCCTTTAATTCCCTTTTGTCATCCTTGTAACTCTGTAATCTGACCTGCAGAACTCTGCAACCCATCTCACTGCTTGGACTCAGGACAGAAACAGATCACCTTGAAGTAACTCCTCAGGCATTCAAGAATCCAGTTCAGAATCACCCCTTTCTTCTTAAAATCTCTACAGGTTTTTGCAGTTTACCTCTGAAATACAGCCCCTAACTTGTCTGTCCACCATCACTTCTCTTTTTTGGAGGGGTATCTTTTACAGGTGTCCTCCTACCCCTTTCTACAAACCTCTTTCACTGGCTTCCAGTTTTGCTCTGGGACCAGCATGTGGCCTTTCCTTTACTGATACAATGGCATCGCAGGGGGTACAGTCTGTTCCGTTCATTTCCCTCAGCAGTGACTCTGCTTTCCTTCCTTTTGATAATCACCTCTTAGAAACAGTAGAAAGAGAGGCAAAAGCTGTGGGCTTTAGTTAAAAATGTGGGAGGCAGGTGGAGGTGAGTGGCCAGAGAAGAGTTCCAGACTGCTCTGGAGGTGGGAGCAGTGAGGGCTTTCAGAAGGGTGGATTGTCTTCGTACCTTCTCCAGCTACACTCATCCGCAGGGGGATGGTAGGGAGGTTGGTCCAACATTACTCTGCCTGACATCAAAATAAGCAGAGCAGGTGACCTGCCTCTTTTTGACTATGTGTGAGGTAGCAGGGTAATCACAAAAGCAGTTCTGAGAAAGACTACATTTCAGATTTTTGGTGTTGTATAACAAGCAATGGCTTGTTTGCTTGCTAGTAGGAAATTCATTAGATTTTGTGGAAATAATATATCACCATTTAAGTAAAAAGAGAATTCAAATATTACATTCACTTCATATTAATCACAGTGAACAGTCCAGCAATTGATGGATGAAATTGTAATTTGTAGCTGTTTAGAGTTAAGGATCAGGAAATTTATTTATAGTGTAACCAGTAAGATTATTACCACTGAGTAAAATATACTGCTATTGTTGGAAGACTCATTCTTGCTCAGAAAGCCAAGGCAAAGACTAAAAGAAATGAAATCAAATTTCCTCTTTGATTGCCCAGCTGTTCTTTTACCTTGAAAATATGTTATTTTTTTTCAGCTCCTTTTTTTTGAGACAGATGTAATGAGGTTTTGTGGAACACTGAGGGTATACAAAGAGAGCCCTCTTTACATTGAGGCTTGATTGATTATGGAG